TTTTTAACACTCATGTTTTGTTATGCTTATTTAATTTTTTTGGAAACACCGGGGGCAAGTTCAAGCTCAAACGTTTTGCTACGGTTTCCGGTTTGAACGACATGTTTCCTGGAAACGGTGTGCAACGGGGTTTGAGATGCATTATCTCTTGTTTGGTGGGTGTCAAACATGTCAGCCAATCAGCAGCAACATGTATATAAACCACGCGGTATTAAAGAGCTGCCTCCAGCTTCTGCGCCCATTAGGAGTGTAGAATTAGGGGGACGCTACGGACATGTCCCTACCCATATCCAGCGACTACCAAATTGTCCCAAGCAATAATTTTGATCAAACAATTTAATGTGTTTGTGTAATTTAGGACGCATCTGAAATATGTCATAGCATTGATATTGCCTAAGAAGCTAAAGTAAATGCGTTACAAAACTGCTCGCTTTCAAGGACCCACATTTAATACATGGGCGGAGTAAGAACGCAAGGTAGTCACACACTGAACGAGAAGCGTAGCACTAACTCACAGGTATTGCACCGAGTTCAAGACAGCAGTCCAAAACAGTTAACATAAAAGTTCACTTCTGGAATTATCTATGGATATTAATAGCTCTATATATAGCTCTCTTTATAAAGCATACGGACAGAAAGACAAACGCTGTGCTGAAAGATGCAAAATACACAATCTTCGAGCCTAGGATGAAGTCATTATGTACATTAACAATAATTTGCAAGTCCGAAATTGGGACAACTATAATGTGATTAATGGAAAACCATGTGAGTGATGCTCTGTGGCGTGGCAGGATTTGGAACAGTCTTTTACTTTAATTTAATAGCCTATGTTGTTCAACTGAATGTACAAAGCAAACTAGCTGGAAATATCCACAAAATAAAAAAATAACACTGAAATAAGAGCGTGTGGTTTATCTGTCAATCAGATGCGCGTTAAAGTTGTGTTTGTTACTACAGCAACAGTGGAGTTCTCTTTCAGAATCATCCTGGGTCCAATTTGACTAATATTAAAATAAAGTGCTGTATGATTAAGACAACCAGTTTATGGATTATGAATATGTTGGCTACCATAAGCTATACATAAAGACTTTAGATGACATGAAACTGCGGTTTAAGGTCTATCATGTGGGGGGCTCTGCTGTTATGTCCCCAATAATGTCAAAAGCAAACCTACACCCTTGGCCTGTCTGCTCCGTCTTGGCTCCCTCATCCCTCTGCTCCACCTTGGTCAGACATCACCCGGCCTGTGTCATGGAGTTATGGGTATCTACCTCCAGAGGGAGGGTCCTCTGGCTCTCTCTTGGTCCTCCGTCACAACAACTCTGCCTCAGTCCTCTGGCTCTCTGTCTCCACCTCAGATGCTTGTTGCGGTGGCTCTGCCATGTTTGCCAAAGCAATTAGTGTTGTTCAGTTCCATCAGCTCTGTCTGCACCCTAGTACCATCTGCCGTCAGCCAAGTCTCCACCATGGCTCCTTCCTTTTTCACCTCCCCTGTGGGCTGTCTTCCTGGCTGCTCTCTGAGTCACCACCTGGCTCCTCTTGCTCCTGGATCCTCCCACTTTCATCACCACCTTGGCTTCTCCTGCCATCAGTGTCACTAGTCTCCAGCACTTTGCTGAGCCCTTGTCCTCCTCCAGAGCCACTGCCTTTCCTCCTCAGTTGGATGTGCCTTCCTGGAGGGGGGTGTAACATCATATCAGTGTTAGTTTAATTTTCTTAGTTTGCTTGTCTTCAGTTACCTGCTTCTTTGTTCTAATTTCCCACCACTGATCTGTTGTCATGGATGTTAATTAAACAAGCACAGCTGTCTGTCGGCGCCGATAGCCTCATGGGCAGCATGCCGACATAAAGTGCTGTTTAGTGTTTTGCGATATGCTCATTTTTCATATCGTCCTATCATCAGCCTGTGAGATCACCGATTCACAATATTATCGTGCTAATTTATTTATTTACCTACTTGGTCTCATTGCCAACTCCAGTATATGGCTAAAAGCAGCCTAAAGGTTTTAATATGACTGACTTTGTCTTTAACATAACAATTTTATAGAAACATTGTAAGTTACTAATTATAAAGCTTACAGTTATTCAAGAAGCAGCTACAGAAAACTAGCAAAGAACATTACATTACCAAAGAACATCATAACTGAGTCTAGCATGAGTATTATGCACTTTAAAAACACTCCCGTTATAATCAGAGAAGCTATCGACACTGTATGATGAATAAATCTCTTACCCCTTATTTACACTGCACAACACTACACTGCTAAATATTAGCGCCTAGCCCTAGTCTATTTTTGACTGATTATGATAATAATAGCCGAATTATAATAGGCCGCCTAATAATAATAATAGTAATTTAATACATTTATGAGCCTGATATCGTCTTGACTATCGACAAAGACGTGCTATTGTCGATATCTCTGACTATCGTCGATACACGATACTATCGGCACAACCCTAGTGCTGTTGCGCTTTGGGCATCCTAAGTGCGAGTCTTGCCTCGTGGATCTTTCCCAATCCTGTCCCCTTCTTTCTGTCCCACGTCTCTTCCTTTCCTTTTTAAACTCTCAATAAAAAGTGAAAATGCCTGGAAATGTTTATATCTAGCATGCTGTTTCACAACCTTGTGTTTTAGTTTTAAGATTACAGGTTAAACCTTTTGTAGTTGGTTAGAGGATATAGGATCTAGCATACATGTTGTTGGATTTGATGGTTTATGCTTTGTACAAATAAACTGGTGTTAACTTGTTTTTGTTTCTTTTCACCTTAGACCTGATGCCACTGAAAGAGGAGAGTCAAGAACTGAATGAAATGGAAGAGAAAGATCAGTATGAGGAATGTCATGATTTCATGACTGGGGAAAAATCTTTGAGTGACTCGCAGACTCGTGAAACAGAAACTAGGAACCTTAAAGTTCACACTGAAGAGAAGCCTCATGCCTGCCAACAGTGTGGGAGGAGCTTTGCACTAAAAGGAAGTCTTAACATTCACATGAGAGTTCACACTGGAGAAAGACCTTTCACCTGCCCTCAGTGTGGGAAACGTTTTGCACTAAAAGGAGATCTTAAAAGTCACTTGAGAGTTCACACTGGAGAGAGGCCTTACTCCTGTCAACAGTGTGGGAGGAGCTTTGCACTAAAAGGAAATCTGAATAGCCACTTGAGAGTTCACATGAGAGAGAGTTTCACCTGCCAACAGTGTGGAAAAGGTTTCAGTGAAGAACAGAGCCTTGAAATCCACTTAAAAATCCACGCTGGAGAGAAACCATTCAATTGCCCTCAGTGTGGAAAGAGTTTTGAACAGAAAAAAAACCTTAATGTCCACATGAGAACTCACACTGGAGAGAAGCGTTTCGCCTGCAAACTGTGTGAGAAGAGCTTCACACGAAAAGAAACATTTAAGGGTCACATGGCAATTCACAAGGGAGAGAATCCTTTTGATTGTGGTCAGTGTGGAAAGAGTTTCAGATATAAAAGAAACCTTAAGCATCACATGAGGATTCACTCTGGAGAGAAACGTTTAGATGTCACTGACAGGAATCCCCGTAAGAATCGTGTAAAACGTCACATTGTAGAGAAGCCTCACACATGCCCTCACTGTGAAAAGAGTTTCACACAAAGTACAAAGCTGGAGGAGCACATAAGAATTCACACTGGAGAGAAACCTTTCACCTGCCCTCAGTGTGGAAAGAGCTTCACAATTAAAGGAAACCTTAGGATTCACATTAGAGTTCACACTGGAGAGAAGCCTTACAAATGTCCTCAGTGTGAAAAGAGTTTCACGTATCACACAGACCTGAAACGGCATTTGCAAACTCACTCTGTAAAGATAATTCTGATTTCCACAGTGTGACGAGAGGTTTAGAAAAAGGAGGCAATAGAAAATGTTTATCTTTTAGAAAACAATGTTACCTTCTCACACCACAGCTGAAAGTGAGCTTCATCTGATTTAACTTTTTGACTACTTTTTTTTTAATTTGTATTATTTATGTCCTTTACCTTTTTATTCTTCACCTGACCATCTTCTTTGCTATAGTTTCAAATATTAAGCAGACACCCTTTAATTTAGACCAGGGGACGGCAACCAATAGAGAAAACTGCATACCAATGTTCATTTTGAGGTCCTCTGCACAATCTGACTTTGCTGCAGACTGGAATTGAACTGCAGGTTTGTCTGGCCAGAGGAGAACTGGCCCCCGACTGAGCCTGGTTTCTCCCAAGGTTTTTTCTTCATTCTGTCACCGATGGAGTTTTGGTTCCTCTGGCTTGCTTCGTTGGGGACACTTAATTTCCAGCGATATCGACGACTTGATTGCACAGATACTATTTAAACTGAACTGAGCTGGATTATGACATCACTGAATTCAATGATGAACTGCCTTTAACTGAAAAATGAGTGTTTACTATTGTTATTTTGCATTATTACACTATTTTACCTATTTAATACTGTAAAGTTGCTTTGACACAATCTGTATTGTAGCATTTGGACCAATCCGACACACAATTGTTCATTAAATTTAACAAATCAATTATTCATTAGCATGTTTGGTCTCTATGAATTCGTCTTCGCATGATCTAATTGAAAGTGTATATTATATGTTTATACCTGTGCAACATATTAGTGTTCTAAGAATTTTTAGTAGTTTTTGCATCAACACCCAATCGAATTACATATGCATAATACCATGCTCTAAGACAAAGAGTCGTAGACTTTCCCTCCAAAAGTGCAAGTCACCATTGGCTCTTTGACCCCCGAGAGGTGTGACCTCCACAGAACTTAAAAGGCCTCACTTCAGTGGCCCGCCTAGCTTTTAGTCTCTTCACTCGTCTCTCATCACCTTCTCGTCTTCTGAGGACTAAGTCCCAGAGCTGGCACAACCGTGCCTGGCAGGCCTTGACACACAGACTTTTAGCTTCTTTTAGATTCTGAGAACACTTTCCACTGGGAAGAAACTCCCAATCACCATCGAGTCAGAACATCTTTGGAATTCATCACTCTTCAAACCCAGAAGAACGTGATCGCAAGTCCAAAACCTTGAAACCATTAAGACTTTCATCCGAGACTGCATCCGGACGTTCGTCAATGACCAAGGCAATGCATGTATCGTACATTTAATTAAACGAAACAGAGGTTTAGTATAAGCTGTAGCCCCCGTTATAAACGGCTCTTTTCATAACTTCATTCTCTGGTTTTCCTGATGGTTTCATCCATCAAGCCCCATTTGCCCTTTCCACTGTATGAGTGATTGTATGTTTGTTTTAGATTAGTTATGTGTGTTAGCGTTTAGTTAATAAAACGTTTGTGCACAAATTACATGAGTCTCTGATCCTGCTTGTGAATAATGTCCCTTTACGATTTTGATCCTTGCTACATGCTCTAATGCATTAATACTGTA